TTGCTGAGGCTAGCCTGGAACTTGCAGTCTTCCTGCCTCAGCCTCCCAAGTCACTGGGATCACAGGTGTGCACCACCCCCAAATTATATGTCAACCTGTTTATTTTAAAGGTGACAAAATGAGYCGTAATTTATTTATTTATTTATTTTTGGTATGGGGGATTGAATCCAGGGGTGCTTAACCATGGAGCCACATCCCCAGCCTTTTTTATTTTGGGGGCAGGACCTTGTTTAAATTGCTTATGAACTAAATCGCTAACTTGCTGAGGCTGGCTTTGAACTTGTGGATTCTCCGGCCTCAGCCTCCCAAGTGGCTGGGATTACAGGAGTGTGCCTGGCTATGAGCTGTAATTTTAAAAACGTATTCAGGCCAGATACGGAGGTACACATCTATAATCCCAGCTACGTGGGAGACTGAGGCAGGAAGATCGCAAGTTTGAGGCTAGCCTCAGCAACTTAGGGAGGCACTAAACAATTTAGCAAGAGGGTTTTGTTTTTTTTTTGAGGGGGGGTATTAGGGACTGAACTTAGAGGCACTCTACCACTGAGCCACATCCCTAGTCCTTTTTATTTTTTATTTTGAGTAGGGTCTCACCAAGTTGCTTAGGGTCCTGCTAAATTGCTGAGGCTGGCTTTGAACTTGCAATCCTCTGCCTCAGCCTCCCAAGCCACTCCAGTGCATCACTGTGCCCTGTGCCATTCTACTCTCTATTCCTAAAACTTGCACTATTTAGGGACCTTACATAAGTGAAGTCATATAGTATTTCTCCCTTTTTCATTTAGCATAATGTCTTCAGGATTCATTTTTCTTGTTGGGTGAGTTGGTGCATACCTGCAATCCCAGCAATTTGGGAGGCTGAGACAGGAGGATTGTAGGTTCAAGGCTAGCCTCAGCAATTTAATGAGGCCCTAAGCAACTTAGTGAGACCTGTCTCAAAAAAAAAAAAAAAAAGTGTGTGTGTGTGTGTGTGTGTGTGTGTGTGTGAGGGGCTGCTGGGGACATAACTCAGTGGCAGCGTGCCCCTGGGTTGAATCTCCAGTACCAAAAAAGATTCATTCTTGTAGCAGGATTCAGAGTTTCCTTCCTTTTTAGGGCTGAATAATGTTCCATTGTGTGCACATCTTTTATTTTTTTTGTCCAATCATCTGTTGAGAGACACTTATTTTTTCTTCCCAACATTTTCACGACTTTGAATAAGGCTGCTACAATGTATTACTCTTTTTTCAGGGGGTGCTGGGCAAGTGTTTTATCATTAAGCTACAGCCCCAGCTCTTGAATAATGTGGCTATGAATATGTGTGTACAAGTATGTTTGAGTTTCTGCTTCYAATTTTTGTGTGTGTATAGACCCAGAAGTGGAACTCTGGATCATGCGGCAGCCTCATTTAATTTTTTAAAACATTTATATTTTAGTTGTAGTTGGACACAATACCTTTATTTTATTTATTTGTTTTTATGTGGTGCTGAGGATCGAACCCAGGGCCTCATACTTGCTAAGCGAGCGCTCTGCCACTGAGCCACAGCCCCAGCCCTCATTTAATTTCAATCATGATGCTTCTTAGCAGTTACAAAATCACAGCATTCTATAAACGTTACAAAAAGGGCAAGAGGCTCTTATGACCCCTTTCTGAGAATGGTGCAAAAAAAAAAAAAAAAAAAAAAAAGATCCCTTCCATGGGATGAACTCACCCGTGCTGCTGCAGTGCAAAACAAAGCGGATCAGAAATGTACTGACCTCAGCTGCAGATGGGTGAGCCATGGGGGTGAGCCTGAGCATCCTTTTGCCAGAACTGGGGATGCTCATCCCCCACTGTGAAGTGAGGGCTCCCCAGGCAGCTGGAGAGCGCTGGTCCCTGGCTGGGGCCTGAGGCTAGAAAGCACAGGTGGTCAGAGACAGAGTCCTATTGATCAGAGAGGTGGGGCCCTCAGAAGTCCTACCTCTATCTGCCCACACACCTCCTCCCAGGCTGATAAGAAGGGGGGTAGGGGAAGTTCCAGACAAGAAGTTTCTTCCTTAATTATTAATGAAACAGGAGCCGGGGAGGGAGCTGGCTCCAACGCCAGAGGCCAAGGGAGAGTCTGTACATTGGTCCAACCCCACCCCTCTGAACCCATAATTATCCCTGACCCTAAGGTGAGTTAAGAACAAACAGGTCAGTTGGGCGGTGGCCCACAGTGTAATCCTAGCGACTCAGGAGGCTGAGGCAGGAGGATCGTGAGTTTAAACCCAGCCTCAGTGACTTAGCAAGGCCCTAAGCAACTCAGTGAGACCCTGTTTCTAAATAAAATACAAAAAAGGGGGGGGCGGCTAGGAATGTGGATCAGTGGTTAGTGCCCCTGGGTTCAATTTCCGGCACCAAAAAAAAAAAAAAAAAAAAGAAGAAATAAAGAAAAGAACAAAGTGTGCTGTTTTAAACTCCTGTAAAGAACGGTCTCACTGCACAGCCCAGACTTCTGGAGGGTGGTGGATGGAGGGAACCAAAAATGGACCATGTAGGGGCTGTGGCTGGGGCTCAGTGGTAGAGTCCTTCCTAGCCTATGTGAGGCGCTGGGTTCCATCCTCAGCACCACATAAACATAAGTAAATAAAATAAAGGTATTGTGTCCTCCTACAACTGGAAATATTTTTTTAAAAATAGACCACGTGGCTGGGCATGGGGTGCGCATCTGTGATCCCAGTGACCAGGGAGGCTGAGGCAGGAGGATTGCAAGTTTGAGGCCAGCCTCAGCAACTTTGCCAGGCCTTGTCTCAAAATAAAAAATAAAAAAAGCTGAATGTCACAGGGTGGCAAAGTGCTCTGGGGTTCAATCAAAAACAACCAAACAGCAATAACAAAACACCGATCGTGGCGGAGGTCGGTCAGCGTGTTTTGTCTGCTGTCTCTCACTGCATCTTCAGTACACAACTTCATCTCTGGGGGTCTCAGTTTCCATTCTGTAAACCGAGAGATTGTATCAGAAACAATCTTAATTACTTGTTCTACGAGGCCTGCCCATAGGCTTTTGTCTTTGGCAAACTCTTAGCAGCTTAATTTCTTTAGCTCAGAGGTGAGAGGATTTACTGGCTGGGGAGAGTCAGCCCAGAGCTGCTCCCTCTAGGGGAGGCAGAGGGTAACTGCAGGAACACTTCGGTTGGCTGAAGTCCCCTGTGGTCCTTCTGCTGCAGAATTCCCGCAGCATGTCTGAAATCACTGGACTCAGGATGCTTCAGCCTCATCTGGTTTTCTGTGTTTTTGGAGCCCAGATACCTGCATTCCCACCCTGCCATTCACCTGGAGCTCTAGGCAACTCCATATTCCCGTGGCCTGAGTCTGTTTTTTGTTTTCGTCCTTCCTAGGGATGGGTGGGAGCTGCCCACCCCAAGGCTGCTGGCATCAGGGATCAGATCTGAGAACGGGCCGGCCAGACTGAACTGCATAGGTGTTTTCTTTCCTTCCTTATCAATATTTTTCATAATAACCTGGAATGTTGCCCTAGAAATTTGAACTTCCACTTAGTGTAGATTCAGGGCTGGAAGAAGGTCGGAGAAGTTGCTCAGGGCCCCAGGGGGAAGTCATGTATCCCAAACAAAGGCCCTCACGAACAGCAGGCCCTGCTCAGCAGTGGGGATGCAGAGAGGAGTTTGGCAGTGTGGCAGGGAAAGGAAGCAACCACAGTGGGAACCACACTCGGTTCCATTGCAATTTCACTTTAAATAGCGAAGAGAGGGCTGCTGGGGAAATGTCAACCCTCCAACATGCCTCTCTTTCCCTGTCTGCAGGTGTGGCTGAGTGCAGCACACCCAAACAGCCCCCAGTTGTTCAGGGGGTCGGTGCATGTGTCTTCCTGGCATTGCTGATGGGTGTTTCCCCGGGAAAGGTCCAGATGCCTGGGGTCTGAGGGCTGCATTTCAGAAGCTCTGTCTCTCCAGGCCAGGTCCTCTGGGATTGGGGGGTTCCATCAGGCCACAAACTTCGTCATTCCCAGGGCCTTGATCTGGGTTTAGAATCTGCCTGAAGCACAAAGTGGAAAAACACATTCATTCTAATAAGCAGTTGCAGGTCCAGAAACTTCTCAACTTAAACCTGATTTCAGTATTTTTTTCATCCCCTTCAAATTTCGCTCTGAGGCCACCCTATCTGCTTCAGGCTCTCTGGGGAAACTTGGTGGGCCCCTTCAGGAGGTCCCTCGTGGTTGCTCCTGAAAGCGAAGTGCAGTTTTACCAACTTGTGGGACCTGCAGGTTCTGATAGCTCGTTGAGCACCTGTGGCCCAGGTGCTTCGACGCCTTCTCCTGGAATCTTCATCATCACCCTGTCCCGTACCGGCTTTTCTTATCTCCATCTGGCAGGTGAAGAAACTGAGATTCAGAGATTCTGAACGACAGTGACAACCGCAGCAGGTGGCAGGTCTGGGTGGAAAAACTCTTATGTGCGACTCCACGACCCACACCTTCCCCGCAGCCCCCAGCAGCCTAAGAGGAGCCGCAGCGCAGCGCAGAGAGAACCTGACCTCTGACGAGGGAGTTTTCCAACGTCCGAGTCTCCCTTCGGACCCTCTCTGGAGGGTGTCTTTTCGAGGTCCCCAGACGGTTCCTTTGGGCGGCCCGGGCGGCCCAGCGCTGCTTCCTGGTAACGGTAAGAGGCCCCTCGCCTCTCCGGGGCTCCCCAGGTGCGCCTTTCACATGTCACCCAGATCACGAAACCAAAACTCAAAACCGAGCCCGCGGTGGCCAACTCCCCTGCCCTCGTCCACAGACCTGGGGGGGGGGCGGCAAGGCGCGAGGTGCCTGCCCTCCCCGCTCAGGTGCGGCCGGCGGCAGGAAGCCGCCCCCTCCGGGAGCCGGTGCRGTGCGCGGGGCGATTGCGCCACCCGCTCCAGCTTTCGTAACTGCACCGGGGACGGCCAAGCGACGCTCGAGCGCGAGTTCCTCAAATGTTTTCCTGCGTTGCCAGGACCGTCCGCGGCTCTGAGTCATGTGCAAGTGGGAAGCTGCCCTGACACCGCGCCGGGCCAGAGGGAGCTGAGTTGGGCGCTCRGCGGGGCCGAGGGACTCGGCTGGGAGCCGAGCGCGGCCGCGGAGGGGCTCGGAGGGGCCCGCTCGCCCTCGCGTCGCCCGGCCCGGCCCGGCCGCCCCCCACCTGCCTCCCTGGGACCGCGGGCGGCGGCCGAGGAGGAAGCATGCTGGTGGCCTTGTGCGCGCTGCTGGCCGCGCTTTCTGCGGCGCCCGGGGCGGCGCTGGCTCCAGGGGACTGCGCGGCGCTGGGTAAGGGCTCCCGCGCACCCGGGGTCGCGGGCGGGTGGGGATCCGCCGCTGCCGCTCACGATCGGGCTGGGGGTGGCGGTGGGGGGAGACTGGAACGAGCCAGGGAAGTGTGGTCGCCCCCCTTTTTTGTGGCTACCTTAGGTGTCCGCGGGCACCAGTCGCCAGAGCAGGGCTGACCCCGCTGCGGGGGTGGGTGCGCCCCCTGCTGCGTGCTGCTGCGCTCGGGTCTGTCTGAGCCTCGGCAGCTACCCGAGGTACAGGTACAGGACAAGGACCCGCCTGACTCCCGCGTCCCAGGGCCCCAGGCATCTATTTTCTCCGGTTATTCCCAGTGGAGATGCCCCCGAGGGCGCCCCAGCGGGGCATCCTATGTCCCCGCACCCCGCTTCTCCCTTCTGTTTGAGCGGGGCACCCCGCCGGGTTCTACCCCAAGCCTCTGGTGTCCGTGTGGATGACAGTGCCCTGACTGTGAAGTCTGACATCACGGGCGCTGAGTCACCGATTCTCCCGCCGCACGCACTGGCTTCAGGGGGCACCGGCTCTGGCAAGCCAATTGTCCCGTCCTGGGAATTTAACTGAGTGGGCAGCAAGGCATTGGAACTTCCTGGGGGTGACCTGAGCTGGAGACCCCTTTCAGACTGGAGAGTGAGGGGCGGGAGAGAGGGCAGGGGCACTCGTGCCCCTGTGGACTGCACTCTGCCCCCGCTGCCAGGCCTTTCTATGGGTCTGGCTCTGCGCCCAGCGGCCTGCCTGGGCTTCGCTCTAGAGGACCTGCTGCTCCAGAGGGTTATTTTAGGGTCTGAGGGCTTCTTTGAGGACACAACGGAAAACCCAGGGGCAGCGGGTAGACATTTGGACCGGATGGCTGGGAGACAGTGGCTCTGGCTCCCACTGCTTATGCGCCCTGAGCTCCTGGGGAACCACTTTTTAGACTTCTCCCTGCAGGAAAGGTAAGGTCCCCACAGGTGGAAGTTGGGCCGGAATGCCCGTGGCTCTCTTGGCTTTCTGGATGGTTGTGGTCTTTGAGTTCAGAAGAGAAAAGTTACTGTAGTAATGGCCAGTGTTGACAGAGACCATGGTTTACACATCTTCTCCTTCCCCTTCCCCTTCCCTTCCTCCCTTCCTCCTCCTCCTTTTTTTTTTTTTTTTT